AAACAAACTTACTCCACTTTTGTGGCCTGCTCCCCGCGCGACCATTTGCGGACTACCTCGGAGGTTGCCTGGGAATACAACTCGACTCAATGGCCAGCACAAATTCACTCACCCCTCTGTCGCAACCCGCCTGGGCCCACGACAAACCATCACTGCGCTTCCCGTACAGTATGTATGCTCGCCTGAAAACTGTACACAAAACCACGGGCGGGCGTACACCCGACCATGTAGCCCTCCGCCAACGCTGTGACGACATCACGAAGAACTCAACAAAACGCTGGTCCAACAAGGAGGTCGCGGCAATGGCCCGGCGCCAATACTACTACCAACTAGTTATGGGTAAACCGCTAACCTCAAACCGAGACAAAGCCAGACACGACAGCTTCAACCGCTGCCTCGAACCTACACCAATCCGGCTCTGTGCTATGATTGTAACGAATACGTACATGTTCACATTGCTACCGCACCGACGGCTGTCTCTGCACTGCCTGCCCGGGTAGCCACAAGTTCACCACCAGCCACTTTACCTGCATCCAACAACTGATTCGACTCATCCTGGTAGGCCCGAAACTGCCGCCCATTGACCCTGTCCTCCTCCAGCAATTACAGGAGTGCCACGACTTCCACGGTATCTGGACCCTCCACGAACACCTTGGATCTTTTCTCCAGCATGTAGAAGAACCATCGTACCCTCACCCGTCTCTGACACATCAACAGATGTTCCCCATAACCCGGCTAATCACGCTCTTGAAGTAATACTTCCAAATTTCGGTTCAAACAAAATCATCGCGCTTGTTGGTTCCGACTATGATACTTCCGATCCAAGTCAGCCGACACATACCGAATGCATCCGTGGTCTGGTGCGGCATTGGCTCACCCTCATCCTCGCTCCTCGACCGAATTATGACGGATAACCTGGTCCTACTCGGTATTTCGTACTCTGCACCAACCCATTCCACGGCACTACACGGCGCAGACCCGATCCGTACCACAGAGGTGGGTATGCTACTTAGTAGGTCAGCAAGCGAATACATGGCACATTCGATGGTATCAGTGTTTTGTCAGCACCGGCCCGAACTGACTCAGCGCATATCCTCCATCGTCGACTCACTTGGCCCAAGCTTCAAACGGGAATTTACTGACCACTTCTTCTTATCGATCTTTCCCGAACCACTACAACCGCTATGAGAGCCATAACATATGTTCATACATTATAACATACATACATTAGAACTTTTTTTTTTTGTAAATAAATAATATTATCCCTAACTGCCCACCTAATTGATCGGTTGCAGGACCGCTCATCATACACGGATTTGAATTTAGAATGTATGTTCACAAGTAATGGCGCAACAGGGTGTGATAATCGATTGAACACTGACGTTTCCAGAAACCGGTTTAAGAATGTTTACTAACTTGGCAGTCTTAAGTTAACAAAGTCATAGCTTCGTTTTAAGAACTAATTCACGCGTGCCGTCGGGGGGTACAGTGTAGGGTTCAATTCTCTACACGCGTTTTCAGACAGAGGTCGTGTAAATCCGATCTCGCAGTCACTTGTCAAAGGTGCAATAGGCCGTGCGTAAACTTTCGTAATGGTCTATCCTTGACTTGAGGATCGGGGGCTTGTCCGGGGTTAAATCCGGCAAAAGTCTTTCAGGCGTAAACTGAATCGTCGGGGGGTAGTTAATTCGGCTCGGAGCAGTATCCAGAAGTGGCCTTAGGGAAACGGAAGTTACTGCAGTGATGTTTGAATTGGCTAGATGGGTAGTCAGCGGAGAACCTCCGGTCCGGAGATCGTCACCGGGCATCCTGCGTCTACGGACAATGGTAAGTCATGCGATCCGGCAGTGTGGGCATAAGGGCGTTCTTCGTGTTCGCCTGCGTGCTCAGCACCTGCTGGGGTATCAGGCATAGGTGCGTTTTCGCACTTATGTCCGATGCCCCTACCCTTTCCCTTTGGGGCACCGTTGAGAGCCCAGGGCGGTTTCGGCCGCCGAAAAGCTTTAGGATATACTCGCCTCTTGTCGTCCTTTTTCTTTTCTTGTTCCAAGGTACCAAATTGGTGCCTTCTTCGTACTTAAGCTTTTCCCCTTTGTACTTGTAATCCAATTATTCTTCCTTACTATGACAGGTTACACTAATGTCTGCAGCTGGCATCGTCGTGAGACTGGGAATCAACACTTGGTGGCTTGTCCAACTGGTATCAGTGATTTCGTCGCCGACTTTCCCCTTGGTGCAGAATAAACATCTTCGCTTTCGGGCGGTCACCTGCCGGCCGGTCGAATTTTAAACACTTTCTCTCATTGCGATACCACTAAGCCATATAGTGAGAATGAAACAAGGGTGGGTGAGAATAACGCATGCCAGAATAATGTCATGACGTTATAGGGATTGTAGAAAAATAATAGGAAATGAAGACCTCATCGGTCTGGAATGCCCATTATATAGCAATCGACACCGTCTGATTGCCCTATAATAGCCATTGGAAATAGGAATACAAACAATGTAATGTTCTGCGGCACATGGTCATATTAATAATTACATTATTAATCGGATCATGTGCGCATAACTATTCATTTTTTGTATTCCTATTGGCTATTATAAATCTTTCGATAGTTCTAGAACTTTCGAGAAAGATTTTGTTTCCACAACCCCAGCGCCAAAGGTGATGGTCATCTATCGCAATGTCCCGAAAGGTAGTCCTCTCTTGCTGATATCAGAACACATCCCGCATCAGGGAGGCGCCCACTGTCTACTGTCTACAGGGTCTACGTACTCCCGCCGCTGACGTCATATTGCGTACCGAAGATGATTGGGGGTCTCCAAGGGCGGCAGGAGCCGGCACACCAATCAAGACGCCGTTGAGATCACAGTTACCTTGTGTTATTATAAGACTTCAGCGATGGTGGCTACACTCCGAGTATGGCCACAATAACGTCATCGCTAACCCCCAAGGAATGAGCACTTGCCACAAAGCCACGTCTCATGCCAGGTGGAGATATGTGTTCCAGCTCACTATCGGATAGTCCTGCCTGCTGGAATAGGCGACGTAGGTTTCGACTTCCCTGCATCGATAAGACTTGCATAAACTGATGATGCGCAGATTTCGCACCGATGAACGCCTTGTGCAAGCTGTCTCGTATCAACTTGTACGTAGCCACGGCGAATGGTCTCAAAGTCCGCGTTGCCATGGATTTCGCCGTTCGTAGAGCCCGCTTCCGATGGCGCATAATGACAGTGATGACGGCATTCGTGTCATCAAAAGCAATATCCTCAAACGCCACATAGTACAAAGTCAGCCGCCGAAAACCGAAGCACCAGTAAAATGCCAGTAGTGCTCGTGTTACTACGTCCACTTTGTGCGAAGTGATTACTTGCAATATCATCTCGATGCTTATGACTTGCACGCCTTCACCAGCCTCTGGTCTGTGCTGATGCACCAACTGTTTGAAACCTTGGATGTAAAACCGCCAAGTCTCATCGGTGTAAGGTTGACTGTTCAGTTGGGTAGCTCTCCACTTCAACGCAGATCGACACTTTTTCAACTCGGCCACAGTGCATCCTTGATAGAATACGTATGCACAGAAGTTCTGCAACACGTCTGTCTGTGATGGTTACGCAACTGAACCCACCGCTACTGAACTGGAATCATCTTCGGATAGAAACTGATCCCAATACGGAAGGCCAAGCCGGTAGTTGGTCTCCGTGGACTTCTCGATACCTCCTGTTGCTAGGATACGCGACGCCTCATTGGCTGGAACTAAGGCAGATAGCTTCTGGCGTTTCGCACGGTCGGCTCGTACAATACTGCCATGTACTGATGTGGTGGCATCGCCTGTTTGAGTTCCTGGGCCACGTT